CGAGGGTTGACTGATAGGTACTGAACATAGGCAAAGTTCTTTTTTATTGAAATTTTGACTTTATAGCGATTAAAATACTTTTTGAAAGAAAAAAGGATGCAAATGGAAAATTATCAAGAGCCAAAATCGCTAGTTAAAAGAGAAACTACAGGATCTTGCAACATTTTCATAGGTACGTCTTGATTCTTTTGAAGCTGAAGATGTTAGGACGCGTCTGAAATTGGCAGTTTTTAACCTTCGTCCCAGTGTGGGGGGTAGTGGTGTCAATTACGGAAAATCGGAATACCGATACCAAACCAAATACCAACCAAAACCGTGGGGAAATACCGAAACCAAACCAACTTGGGAAAATGAGGGAAATACCAACTTTTTACCGATTTCTTAGCCTCTTATACATTAGTGAGGGTTCATGATACCAACAAAATACCAAACACATTACGATTGAAATACCAAATACCAAGTTGGTAGCAGTTTGGTATCGGTATACCAAAAAGTTGGTATCCGATTGACATCTCTAGTGGGGGGTATGTTACCACCCTGTCGCGTTTTTTGCGTATAAATAAAAAACCGCGCGTAGCGCCGCGCCGCTTTGCGTAGCTTTTTGTACATCAATTTTGGACAATGTGTGAATTTTTTTTTGACCCCAGGTCATGTCAGGTCAGGTCACCAGGTCAAGTTAACTGACCAGGCCTAAAAAAGTTTGCAATCATGTCCAGCCTGCAGTGTTTGTCAGAAAGGTTTTAAACTTGGTGGATTGCATGATGTTATGGGCGCCTACAATTTGTATATCTCGGATTTTTTTTATATCCGTGACCTCAGGCCAGGTCAGTGGTGTGACCTTACCATTATAAGTCAATGGAGACAAATGAAAATGCCTCTAGATCCGTGTGTACGCATAGTAACAGTCCAAATATTTCAGAATCACAATGATTTGGACCACCCGTGACGACCAATGTGTCTTTTTTGTTGATAGCCTCTAGAAAGGTCATCTGAGGTCATTTGAGGCTACAAACAGATTTTTGCCAATAACTCTCGATTGGAAGGAGATAGGACGCTAGGGATGGCCTCATTGTGTTTATCTTGTTGAGACGCATCGAATGATATGTAACATGACCTTTTCCGGTCAGGTCATGACCTTGACCTGAGGTCAAATTTTCAAGTTGACCTTTCAAGGTCAAATTATAGTTCATTCGACGCGTCTCGGCAAGAGGAAAACGATTCTGGCAATAGAAATGTCGTGGCTTTTTCTAGTCAAAAGTTATTGTCGAAAAACACTTTGCGAAACAGCTATTTTTTGGGGTTTTTGCCCTCTGGAGGCTAAACTGTTGACCTGAGGTCAATTTTGATCATGACCTTATCAAAAGAAGAGTTCAGAAGCTATCGATTCCTTTTCCATGCGTTTTTCTAGCTACCATAGTTCCTGAGATAAATGCATGTTTTCTGAAAAATATAATGACATTTGGCAAATTTTGACCTTTGATGACCTCCAGTGACCCCAATATTGCTCCAAGATGAAAAATGACCGAAATACTTTCAAACGTACGCATTGAGATCTATCGACTGCTTTTTATCGCGTCTTTCTAGCCCTCTTAGTTTTTGAGTTAGAGGTGGGTGATAACTGGTAACATATATGCCCCCCCCCCCCCCCCACTAGGGCGAAGTTGGCTGAGACCGCCACTGGGGCGCGGGTTAAAGCAAAAGCTGAGTGATATGACGTCACTAAAAAGGCATTTAAAAAATGGACGAATTTCGTTTAAATTTTCAGGTGACACACCAAATTGATGTATGATAAGGTATAAAAGGCTCGAGCGTCGAGGTAGGTATGCTGCCGTTAACACTTAGGTTAGGTATATGTTATTGGCGAAAAATGGGAGGTTAACCTTGGGCCTCGAAGGGGCGGGGGTGTTTTCGGCACTCGCCAGTTTTTTTTGCGTAAGAAAATCGCGGTGCCCAGCGCGGCAACACTTGATACAGCTTATCATATGTTAATTTGGCATCGCGTGTAAAAGCTTTTGACCCATGTCACATAAACCGCGCGGGGCTGGGGTCTCCAGCCGAACGCGCGGGGCTGGGGGGGTAAATTTTACCCCCCCCCCCTGTTATCTCCCGAACTAATGGTCCGATTTGGAAAATTCAAACGCCAATCGAAAGCTCTCATCACGAACTACTAAAAACATGTACTTAATTTAAAGTTTGAGGTCAAGGTCAAGGTCAGGTCAAGGGTACAAATTGCAAGTTTCTACAGTATCGGCCTTGCACCGTAGTTGCCGAAGAATGGAGTCATGGACTGAGACTGATCGCCCAAAACGTGTTTTTAGGCTACCAAGACAATATTCGTTGCATACAATATCATTCAGAGGTCAAGGTCAAGGTCAGGTCAGGTCAGGTCAGGTCACCAAAAAACAAAATATAGAAAAGGGCATGTGCGACACATGTTTTATGGGTCATTTTACTCATAGAGTTCAATAGGCACACTCAATAAGTGATATGGACCACCTCTGGATGAATTTCAGGTCGAGGTCAGGTCAAGGTCAGGTCAAGTGAGGTCAAATTTTGAAGTTGGTTGTTAAGGCCTAAAAAGGTGTCTATCTGATGCAGTTTTTCACGGCAAATCGAATGGTGCTTTTTTTGTTTCCGTACGAGGTCTAGAACTTCCAAAAAAGTCATTTTTCAAAAAATTTGTGTGTCGTGACGTCATAAAATTTTGAATAACTCCCACATTTTTGAACCGATTCTTTCTTCTAAAATTTGGTATGTAGGTGCACATAGACCACTTCTCTGACATATATTCCGGTTTTTTCGATAGACTCAAAATTTTGGATTTTATAATGATTTTCCCAAAAACATCAGTTTTTTGAAAGAAAAAAAATTTAGGCCAAAATCCAAAATTTTCAAAAAACCGAGATAGCCATTTGATAGACAAAGTAAAATTACGTATAACCTTTTTTGTTACGTCTTGATTCCTTTAACCCGCGCCCTGCTGGGGGGGGGGGGGTGTTTGAACACCCCCCCCTTGTGGTTTTTCGCGAATATCTCAAAAACGGCAGCGCGAAGCGCCGCCGTTTTTGGTACACCTTATCATACATCAATTCTACACATGTTGTGAAAATTTCAGACCAAGGTCATTCAAGGTCAGGTCACTAGGTAACTTGAAGTGACCTCACCTCATAAAAAGTTTCAATGTCTGTCATAGCTACACCGAGTGACCGATCGCTTTGAAACTTTCAGCGATTGCTAAGAGCAATAGCATGTACAAAACGTATATCTCAGAATTTTGATATCGATGACCTAAGGTCAGGTCGATTTTGCGACCTCCCCATTATAAGTCAATGGGAGAAAATTGAAATGCGCCTTTTTTGGACGAAAGACATTATAAACACTCCCAAACACCGAATTACAAGTAGTTTAGACACAATGAACATACAAATGGTGTCCGTGACCCTTGTTTATGCCCTGAGGTCATCTTAGGTCACGAATGGTATCTAACAGTTTTTCGCAAATAACTTTTGATAGAGGCATGCTAGAGCGATGAAAACGCCTTAGATGTGTTCAGCTCGACGATACGGATCGACTGATATGCAACATGACCCTTTCCGGTCAGGTCATGACCTTGACCTGAGGTCAAATTTTCAAGTTGACCTTTCAAGGTCAAGTTATAGTTCACTCGATGCGTCTTGACGAGAGGAACACGATGCCGGTAAAAGTAAGCTCGTACAGGGCTTGGGTCAAAACTTATTGCAGAAAAACTGTTTCCGAAAAAATCGGCTATTTTTGCAGTTTTTGCCCCCTGCAGGCAAAACCGTTGACGTTAGGTCAAATCTGAGAGAATTACTCAGAAAGGGCGTTAATAGGGCTATCGAATGCGCTTTTCCGCGGCGCTGTAGCTCTATTGGTTCCCGAGTTATGCGTTGGCTTCTTGGAAATTTTCGACATTCGATCTGGAAATCGGCGAAATTTTGCCTTCAATGACCTCTGGTGACCTGACCTTTGACCTGACCAAAAAATTGACCGAAGTGATTTCGTCATTATTTTTTACGCTCTTTCGAACGCCGCCTTCCGCGTATCGCTACGTGGCCCAGGAGCCGAGTTACAAGGGGGGGTGTTCAAACCCCCCCCCCCAGCAGGGCGTGGAAATCCAGGACCCCCAGCCGGGCGCGGGTTAAAAATGAAGATGTTAGCGGCGTTTGAACTTTTGCCGTTTTTGAGGCGAAAATGGCGAACATGACGTCACTAAAACGTCAATTTCTCAAAAAATTTCCGACGGATTTCGCTCAAATTTTCAGGGAACGTGTCAAATTGATGTAAGAAAAGGTGCTGAAAGTTTGGCGGCGCTGCGCGCCGCCGTTTTTGAGATATCGCAAAAATTCGCGAGGGGGGGGGTAAAAATTACCCCCCCAGCCCCGCGCGGGATAAGGTCAGGTTACCAGGTCAATTCAACTCACCAGGCCTCTAAAAACAATACCGATACAAGTATTACATGCCGATGCATGCCTTCTATCGCTTCGTGCAAGCATGGTGTGAAACGTCTTCCACAAAACGTTAATTCTGACGTCTTGTTATCCAGATCCTTTGCAGTCCAGACAATGACTGTTGACGTCCATTCAAAACTAAGGACACACATTAGCGAAAGACTGACAAGTTTCTAGCTTTATCAGTCTTCGAGTTATGAGCCTGTTAGTCAGAAAATGTCGACATCTGGATGACTTGACATTTGACCACAAGTGTCGGTCTGACCTTTATTCTGACTGATGAAATATAATTGCAATATTTTGTTTTATGATTTGTTGGCGACTTAACGAAAGCTGTTTATACCCTGCATCGCGTGACCTCGCTCAGGAACCAAGAGGGGGAGGGGCCGTCAACCCCAGATGTGCTACATGGTTGTCCAATGTCCATTACCCTGGACAATTATCCGTGTCCGTAACATTCGTGTCATTATTTCCCTGCCGCCTGAATCAGGCTTTCACGCTGATATTTTCCACCAGAATATAACGCATCTAAAAATGAAAAAGGTATTTGTATTTTCACTGTTCGCACAAGATAAAAACAGAATACGCATACACATTCTAATTCAAAATGAACAACATCGCCAAAAACCACATTCACAGCTCGAATGTCCAAATAGGGTAAACCGTTTCAGTATAGCATTCAGCATTGCAATCTGTCCTAAGTGGCAGGTACCTGGCATATGAAGTACTCCAACACAAAATTCGAGCTGCAGTTATATCCTGCCCACACCCCCCAGTCGCTGTAGTTGAGCACGGCGCACGTCCCATCATAATACCCCGGGTCATCCCGATACCAGAGGCTGAAATCGTACGGAGTTCCGTCCAACCAGGCCCAGGGAGCGGTGGTGTCAGATCTGGTCAAACCTATCCAGCCAATATGGCGACCCGAGTTGTCAATTCCCAGCACCTCCTCGCCAAGGAATGTGTTCTGTTCGGCGTCATGGATGGAGACCATTGTTGCATCGGGGTGCTGCAAGGTGCAGGCACGTGCAACGTCAACAAAGCGACTGATGAAGGAGGACCCCCAGTAGCACGTGTCTCGGAACTGTTTCCATTCGGAGGAGGGGCAGGTTGCAGTGATGACGGCGACGGCGGCGGCCACCAGCGTCAGGCGCAGAGTCCACGTCATTATGATGGCGGTGACGTCACTCCTGACTGCTGTGACGTTGCTGGATACCTGTGGGATACGGTTGTAAATGACATGTATCCGTTTGGTGCCGTTTTTAACTCCATTGTCTCCATTGGTCAGTAAGAAATACTATATGCCTGGTTGATAATTATAGCGATCAATTGTATTGTAACCCAAATGTAAGCATAAACAAAGCTGTACCTATGGACCATAGACATTCAGCACAGCGATGAAGGCTCCCTTTACGGTCATTTCAAATATCCCCGAACAGTAAGTCCGAAATTCTCACCTGCCTTTGAGAGAGCCTCTACGAGAGAACCAGAGTTCTAAAACGTCGGGTCGATGATTCTAATCCCGACGCTGAAGTATGCATCTCGTCTCTGGTGCGCCACATTTATATTTTCGGATATCACTCCGACGGAAATCATAATCACAGCGGAGGACAGGCGAACGAAAATGCGCCCAAAGTAGTCCATGAGCCGTGCGAATAAAACAGGTGACGCGCCCCCTTATCAACAAAACTGACAAGTCATGCTCGACGTGCAAACGGAAAAGTAGTGATACCTACTTGAAAGTCATGGTTGGCGATGTGCTGTTGACTGCTGGTACTACGTCAGTGCGTTGGTAGTACGTTAGCCATAGGCAAATGACGCTCTTTTACTGCATAAGAAAATGCGCACCTACCGATGCAGAACGCAGCTCATTATCTAATACCTATATGTCCCTCGCCCGGATGGAGGTCACAGCCAAATTCGCCATGATGTGGGGAGGCGTATTTGGCCACACCAGGTTATCTCGGAAACAGCAGCACTGCTCCATGGACCTGAGGCCAGTTTTACCAACAGAAAAATAACCGCCTGCCGGAATTTTTTGCCTGAAGACCGCATCACATACGGAGCGTAAACGGTTAAGCCCTTTCTACTTACGTGCCCATCGCGTTTACGCTCCGTATGTGAACCGGTTTTTAGGCAGAAAATTCCAGCAGGCGGCTATTTTTCTGTTGGTAAAACTGGCCTCTGGACTGAGGTATCTCCGTACATCTTCAGTCTCGGATTTAAAGACGACCCGAACTATTACGGCGGAAACTGCGGCCTCTTCAACTTTGGTGGTGACAGACAGCCTGTGGACGGGCTATGATTACTCTTTTCCCGAGTTATTTTATGTGCCAGTTAACTAGCCCTGAGTGACAACGCCTGTATGCACCCGTTGTAGAAGAAAAAGCTGTTTTGTGTTTTGTATCCGTTTGGCGCAAATATATACGACATTGTGCATTCAAAGAAGCCGGAATCAGCTACGTTTTTATTGCAAAAACTGAAAAAAACATGTTTTCCCAATAAATACCTAATTTCACATTGGGTATTGGATAAATATTAGCCTGGCTCTTTATCACTTGCAATGATTCCAACAAATCTGTTCAAAACCATTACAAATTCGTCTACAAGCTCCTCAGCGTTGAAATACAACTGGGGAGGCGGAAAATTCCACTGGCCTCGAACTGACCCGTGGAACAGGACTCGATAAATCGTATGAGCCACGCAAAAAGGCACATCGAAAACTTCCAACAGCCAAAGTATACGACGAAACAAGTTCCAATCACTGGCATCACAGATGATCGTACTTGGCACTGGCAGACCCTAGCAGACACAGTAACGCAACGCTTGGTGTCACGATGTTGATCACTTCTTTAACAAACATGTGATGTGAATGCAAAATATACCTACAATGATTCGATGAGTCACCTTTAATCCCGCAAACGTCAGAGAGCTACACTGCACTATCAACATCACATGACGTCAACACAGCTGCACACTGACGTCACATCAGCCACCGTCAGTGATCTGACTGACGTGTACCTGATGACTGAGTGACGTGTCCCGGGAGCGGAGCCGGCACACGCCGTCTTGGAGGGTTCTCTCGGAGAGGAGAACGGTCAGAGGAACACCGGCGCCGTCAGAAGAGCGGAGAGGCGCCGCCAGCCACGGCTCCTCCACTGCGGAGATACACAGACACGGTCAGAGAAACACCGGAGCCATAAGTCAGGGCTCCACTGCGGAGATACGCAGACACGTTATCAGAAGACAGAGATATCATAATTGATCGTCATTGAATGCACCACAATTTTACAGCACATCAACAAATCTGAGCAGCTCTTACGAACGTCCAGCATGGAATATCAGTATGTCATATACAATTATACAAATATTGAAAGTGGCAGTCACAACGAAGCATTAGTTTAAGGATGGAACAACAACTATTAGATCAAGAGTAATTCTACACGGCTCATATTTTCGTCAAACAACACCCAACAGTCCAACACCGCCCCAGGCTGGACAGCTGAATACAGCTGAGCTGAACGGTGTTGGACAGTTTTGTCCCTAACCTAATGCTGAAGCCATCTGCCCTTGACCCAGTGTGTACGCGTCTGTTCCAGATCCAATGACCTGCGCTGGACAGCTGATCAGTCCGCTGACACATTGGCCTGAGCAATAGATGAGAAATATAACATTTTTCGTCCGTTCCTGTGCTAAGCCCGTCCAATCCTCCAGCCACTGACCTGTGCTGGACAGATCCGACCCCTCGCACACTGACCTGAGCTAAACCCATCCAATCCTCCAGCAACTGACCTGTGCTGGACGCGTTAGTCCTCTCTCCGTCCCTCTGGGCCTCCTCAGAGTTTGACTGGTCCTCCTCTCCTTCCGCCGGCATCTCCTCCGGTAGCGGAAACACGGAAACACCCGACGACCGCAGCTGAGGAAAACCGAGCCGACAGGGTAACGCTATGGTAACAATAGCGACGCCATAGGGAGGCAAGTAGCAGTGATCTGTCAAAATTCACACTTCATAGCACTGTTTGACAGCTGGGAAAAATCCTGGAATTGGATGCTTAGATGAACAGTTTAGCTAGCGGAGCTCTACTCGTTACCCTTCCCCGACCCCTCCCCATCCACATGGACCCCTGGCACGCCCCTTTCCAGCCTAACATCAACATTCCCTGTCCCATACCTGGTTGCTGATATGCAGCGCCAGCGCGCGCAGCTCCTCGGGCCAGTCGTGGCGCGAAGGAACCGCGCGCCGGTATGGCGCCAACCGCTCCTGGAGGCGGAGCGCGCCAGCGTCCAGTGCGTCTCCGCAGACGGAGTACAGGGCCGACTGGAGGCACAGCTCACAGCTGAACACGTGTGCCTGTCGGGGGGAGGTCAGTTCAGGCCGTGGGCTAGACATGGACAGACACCCGGAACGGTTTATGGGAACATCGCGCAGCTGGATGCAATCCACGATTAACTTTTGGAGTGACTGAATGTAGTCAACCTTTAAGACCTATCTATACGTTATCATAAACATATATAACATGAAGATATTGTAGATAAACTATACAAAATCATAACTGGCGCTTATTAGAGTTTTTACATGCCCTATTTGGGGGATAGGTACCAAGATGTCACGTCCGTTTTTAACACCTAGTGTGCTACCTCAGTGCACCTACATCTCTCACGGTTGCTTCCTCACCTCTTGTGTCCCTCCAGCGCCCTCTATTGCCTGCGGTCCGTGGCTCCTCAATCGCTCCACAGGCAGGCGCCCATCGAACAACACCTGCGCGTCATCTGGTGAGCTCTGGGCGAGGCTGTAGTTACCCGGATCGTCCGCCAGATCCCGCCACCATATACGCCGGCGCCGCTGTAGCGTTTGGTGCCAATCCGCACCGTCAGGCGGAGGCACGGCCAGCACGAGAGACAACTGACCACCAGCGGTGGGCGGGGCGTCGGCCGGAGGGGGCGTGGCCTCCAGCTGCTCGGGCGGGGTCAGCGGTCCGGCGCCAGGTCGCTCTAAGGTGACTCCAAAGGGCAGTGTGAGGTGAAGAGAGCCCTGAGCTGCATGGAGGGCAGCGAGTGAGTCTGTGGAGTGGAGGGAAGCCATTGAGATGATCAGCAGAGTATGCAGCTGAGAACTCTAACTCATAACACAGATAACAGTGAAAATGATAGTAGCAATGACATTCTATGAGGTAGTCATTTGTGGCATAGAGCTTGAGGTGATAACTCATGACTGAAATCACTGCTGGACAAAACTCACTTGCTGGACAATTCTAGAAATTAGTATCTCTAATACATGACTCAGGACAACAACATGACAATAAAACATGACAATTAGGAGGATAAATTACACTGGAAAAGAAATGCTATAAATTACATCAATAGAAAATAGTGTGATAATGACAACTAATAACACAATACCTACGTTATGGCTCAGAGTGCAAAAAAAAAACATCAACAGACAGCATCAACAGACAACAGTTACAAAGTTAAATTATCACCAAAACAGGTGAAAATGTGCATGGTTGTTGCTTTACATTACAGATACAACCTAGATTACAAGAAGGCATTCGACACCGTACCGCATAAGAGACTGTATCGCAAGCTGAGTGCCTATGGTCTGAAGGGTAGAGTATTGAAGTGGCTGATAGACTTTCTACATGCACGGCAGCAGCAGGTGAAGGTTGGTAGTAGCCACTCAAGTTGGGCCCACGTCTCAAGCGGTGTCCCACAGGGCTCGGTTTTGGGACCGGCCATGTTTCTGCTTTTTGTCAATGAGATTCCCGAACTACTACATAGCAGAGTGAAGATGTTCGCTGATGATATGAAAATGTACGGGGCAGTCACCAGCACCAACGACACACAGGCACTCCAACAAGACATGGACACACTCTCGCACTGGTCACAGACATGGCTGATGAAGTTCAACATATCCAAATGTAAAGTGATGCATTGCGGCACAGGAAATCCTCGAAGAGTGTACCATATGACACAGGACGGAACCTCGGAGTCGCTGGAAGAGACCTGCAAAGAGAGAGACCTGGGAGTGATTGTGGAAAATACATTGAAGCCGACACTACACTGCAAGATGGCAGCCAGCAGAGGCATGTCAGCCCTGAAGCAGCTCAAGGCGACCTTCCGCACAATAAGCAGGAGAAACTTCAAGCCACTCTACAACGCTTTTGTCCGACCCCACATCGAGTACTGTGCCCAAGCGGTTGGACCGTACATGGCGCAAAACTTCAAAGCGTTGGAGAAAGTTCAGAGAAGGGCGACAAAGATGGTGAAGGGGATGAAGAACGTACCATACAAGCAGAGACTTATCAATCTTGGTATGACAAGTGTAGAACAGCGCCTACGGAGAGGAGACCTTATCGAGACCTACAAGATATTGACGGGGAAGACGAAGCTGAAGCCGGAGCACTTCTTCCAGCAGAGCCAGGAGGGGAGAACCAGAGGACACTGCCTCAAGCTGACCAAGAAACGAGTGACCCACCATGCAAGGATGATGTTCTTTTCTCAACGTGTGGTGTCCCCCTGGAATGCTCTGCCAGAGGAAGTTATATCGGCAATGACTACGAACAGTTTTAAAAACCGGTTGGACCACCACTGGGCCACAAGGAATCCTCACTGAGTCATTTCTGACCTTATCCGGATGTGGGCCCTGAATAGACCCGGTCTACCCAAGCCCACTAGTAAAACCTAAACCTAAACCTAAACATTCCACTTTCTTGACCTAGGACATGGCACAACTGCCAGTGCCTGGCCT